AACATAACTATTTGAAGCATAATTAACAACGGGGTGCCAGTCACTGATTGTGCTTTTTTGCTTTATTTTATGTCTGGGGAGTTCCAGTATTTCCCATTAGTTTTAAGAGGGGCCACGGTGCTAGTTATCAAATTGACAGTCTTGACCTAGCCTCTGGAAGCAACTGTAAAACGTTGTTTGGGGAAATTAAGATAGATGCTAAATGCGATACTGAAAATGGGACCATAATGTTGCTACAAATTGGACATTGGTGTTCCATGCCATGACGGCAAGTAACAATGTAGGCATGATATCTGGCATGCATGAGAGCATGGACTTTGTCATTTCAAATACCAGGTGGTGGTGATAAGGAAATACACCAGTTGTTCTGTTATCCCATCTTATGAGATCTGTGTTTTGAATTCTTTATAAAATACCCATTCTTTTCAGTATTAACAGAGTAAACAGCTCTTCCTCCTATTCAAAATGTAGATAGGGTAATCCTTGCAAGGGGGGGGGGGGGAATCAAAGGTAGCTGTCCATTCTGTAAAAGGTACTGACTACAGAAGAGTTAATTTGTCAAGTGGATTAAATATCTAGCCCACATGGGGCATTTAAGAATAAAACATGATATGTTCTGGTTCTTCAGAACACTTAGTTTGTTCAGGGTTTGCTTGACCAATTTGGTAGCCTGTGTGGCAAAAGTGACAATCGTCTGTATGTGAAGAGAACATAACCGATACAGCAATTTTGTCACTCTGCAGACAGCCTGAAATTCTAACGGAGATATGTGAATTACCTTGACCCTGCCTGACTGGAGTATCACCTTCAAAAGTCCAGTGATTGCACTTCATTGTTATCAGCAACTAATTCAGCACTGATCATTTTATCTAATGTTATTGGGGAATGGGGTAAGAGCAAAGCACAGTGGATTGGCTTTGGGGAATTTCTATCGATAATGCAATGCAGAGAAAAGAGCAGACTAGAGAGAAAGGCAGGAGACAGGGAAAAAGAATAAGGAAGAAAAGAAATTAAAAGGCAACAAAGAGGGTAGGATTGGATGGAAAAGATCTATTATTTACTGATGAAGATGATATGAAGTATTATGAGAAAGTACCAGACTTACATTTTAGCTGTGATAGAAAGACTATTTTTTTCCTTTGATCTCTATGTAAAAACTCAACCTACTTTTATCTTGGCCATTCTCATCTGATATTTGGTTAATGACTGTTTCCCATTCAGCTCTATTACAAGCAAGCAAGAGTTCTGTATCCCTCCAGTGTACCTCTGTTATCTGTCACACAGTAGAAACCAGAAGAGGAAGACAGCCCCAACCAGAGATTGAGATAAAACCATGCATTTTCCCCATTCTACCTGCACTTTGTGGTTAAACAGAGGATTTTAGGTCTGCAGGTCTTTATCTCCTTTCATGAAAGCTGCATCCATTTTAACAGTTAGTTAAATTAATTACATTTAGGAACTGGCAAGAAAAATGGAGCTGCACTTGGTTTTACAGACCCTCAGACAAGTTAGAGTGAGAAAACTAAAGCTTTAAGCAGTTGCACATCAGTTCAATCATTCTACTTCTCTAAAATTCACTTGTACTTTTTTTGGTTTGTTCCATTTCTAGGATTTCTTTTTCCTGGCAGAAAATTTGGAAAGGAAGTGGAGAAGTCAGAAACTGATTTACTTGACGATACTCAGCTTGCATGCAGGTTTCATTTTTTTACAGTTTTTCTACAAGGCAACCAACTAATTCTCTGCTTCCAGCATAGGCACGTCAAGGTCCTATTTCTTTGTTTTCACCACAGGTCAGATCCCATCATCAGGAAAAACTAATTTTGAAGCATCTTCCATCACAGGCACACTGAAATAATGAAATGAAACAGCCAACCAGAAAAAAAAAAAATACCTTTTCTTTAACTCCTCAACCCTGGGTCAGTGATGCAGAACTCCCGTTGAGTTCAGATAGTAAGGTTTGCTAGTCAGCAGTGAATGTGGTTCTGTGGCTTATAACTCCATAAAAATGTCTCTCTTCTGCAGGTTGTTTACCTCAAGGATTGGTAACAGCCAAACGTGTCTCCTTTGAGTCTTCTAGCATGCCCGCATTTCGTTTTTCCTCCTGTTGATTTGAGTACTTTAAACACTTGCTTTGTTCTCTATTGTAGGTCATGGGTTATATGGGACATTTGAAATGTTGTCCTCCTGGAGAAAAACTAGAGAAGACCAACATGTTAAAGAGAGAACTGCAGCCGTATTTGCAGACTCCATGCTCTCGTTTTCTCTCACCACTGCCATGTACCTGGTCACTTTTGGAATAGGGGCCAGTCCCTTCACTAACATTGAAGCAGCCAGGATTTTCTGCTGCAATTCCTGTATTGCAATTTTCTTCAACTACCTCTATGTACTCTCCTTTTATGGTTCCAGCCTGGTGTTTACTGGCTACATAGAAAACAACTACCAGCATAGTATCTTCTGTAGAAAGGTACCAAAGCCAGAGGTATTGCAAGAGAAGCCTGCATGGTATAGGTTTCTTCTGACAGCCAAATTCAGTGAGGACACAACGGATTCAGAGGAAACAAACACTTACGAAAGTCATCTTTTGGTGTGGTTCCTTAAACGCTATTATTGTGACTGGATAACAAACACTTACGTCAAGCCTTTTGTAGTTCTCTTTTACCTGGTTTATATTTCCTTTGCCTTAATGGGCTACCTGCAGGTCAGTGAAGGGTCAGACCTTAGTAACATCGTAGCAACTGCAACACGAACCATTGAGTATACTACTGCCCAGCAAAAGTATTTCAGTAACTACAGCCCGGTCATTGGGTTTTATATCTATGAGTCAATAGAGTACTGGAACACCAGTGTTCAAGAGGATGTGCTAGAGTATACCAAGGGGTTTGTGAGGATATCTTGGTTTGAAAGCTACTTAAATTATCTTAGGAAACTCAACATATCTACTGGATTGCCCAAGAAAAATTTCACTGATATGTTGAGGAACTCTTTCCTGAAAGCCCCTCAATTTGCCCATTTTACAGAGGATATCATCTTTTCCAAGAAATACAACAACGAAGTCGATGTAGTGGCCTCCAGGATGTTCTTGGTGGCCAAGACAATGGAAACCAAGAGGGAAGAACTTTATGACCTCCTGGAAACCCTGAGGAAGCTCTCTCTCACCTCCAAGGTGAAATTCATTGTTTTCAATCCATCATTTGTGTACATGGATCGTTACGCCTCTTCAGTGGGAGCCCCCTTACAAAACTCCTGCATCAGTGCTTTATTTCTGCTCTTCTTCTCTGCATTCCTGGTGGCAGATTCTCTGATCAATGTCTGGCTCACTCTAACTGTTGCCTCAGTTGAGTTTGGAGTTATAGGTTTTATGACCTTGTGGAAAGTGGAACTAGATTGTATTTCTGTGTTGTGCTTAATTTACGGAATTAATTATACAATTGACAACTGTGCTCCACTGTTATCAACCTTTGTCCTGGGCAAAGAGTTCACAAGAACTAAATGGGTGAAAAATGCCCTGGAAGTGCATGGGGTAGCTATTTTGCAGAGCTACCTCTGCTATATTGTTGGTCTGATTCCTCTTGCAGCTGTGCCTTCAAATCTGACCCGTACACTGTTCAGGTGCTTGTTTTTAATAGCATTAGTCACCTTCTTTCACTGCTTTGCCATTTTACCTGTGATACTGACTTTCCTGCCACCATCCAAGAAGAAGAGGAAAGAGAAGAAGAATCCTGAAAACCGTGAGGAAATAGAGTGTGTTGAAATGGTGGATATGGATAGCACCCGAGTGGTTGACCAAATCACAACAGTCTAACTTGTTTGTTTGCTGTTTATTACACGAGGTCTTACTGAGAGAAAAAGAAATCAGTATTGGCTAAATGTTTGGGGAGGGGAAGAGGTTTAGGGGGGTTTCACCTTCTAAGCTAAATCCAGGAATACTCAAAATGATGGGAGGAAGGAAGAAAAAATCCAGGGCGGGGGATTGTTCCTTGGTTGGCTCCCTTAGCAGGTATTATGAGAGAATTTGCACACGCATGCAAAGAGAGGGTGAACTTTAGAGGCATGAATTAAGATCTAATGAGCAAAGTTGGGTTACTAAGCAGCATTCTGCGTTGTCTGTACTGCAGGTAGTGCAATTACTGTTGCTAAACCCGATCAGATCGAAAGGTCAACTGTCAAGGCTGGAGTAGCACTAAGTGTTCGCTGGATGTAAAGGCTTTACAAACTTTCTGCACAGCAATAACTCAAGTCAGTGAGTCAGCTCTTATAGGTCTTAGCCATCACATTTAATTTTTCTTTTCTCCCCTAATCTAAACATTTATGCAAGACTGTATAACAGCAAACTGTACTGGGAAAGAAGGCAGTATGCAGCAACCAAACACTTTCAAAACACTTTTATGTTATAAATCACCTTATTTTTCCTAGAAATATCATTATTTTAAAATGTAAATCATCCCCTAGAACATTTTTAATCATGGTTTTATAGCTGTTTGTTTTTCTTATAAAAACAAAAAGAACAAAAAAAAAGAACAAAAAAAATCCCAGTGACTCTGTCACTCTAGAAAATATATAATTCTATTTTATAAGTGTCTCACTAGTAGTTAAACAAGTAATTTGCTTTACGAACTGTAATTTTGCTAGCACTCTACTAGCACATGCCAGTGGATCTAGCAGCAGACAGAAGATGGTGTACTGAATATTTCAGCACCAAAATCCATGACACAAACCTCAAATACTTAAATGTCATCAAGGGAGTGAATGTTAGGGCTCTTTAATAAGAGTCTATTTCAGGCCATTCACTGGTAATGGACACTAAGAGGATTAGTGGGTAGTTTTGCGTAATGTATAACTTTTACTTAATCCCTCAATCTTCCTAGAGTACCTGTAAAGCAATAGACCTTACAGCTATGGGCTCTTCCAAGAGACAGTAGACATATGACAGTAGAGTGTCATATGTAACAAACTGAAGGAAGGGACCGCAATTTAACAAGTTTAGCTATGCCCCCAAAGAGCCTATATCAACGGGATCTATTGAAAGCATTACATTAGAGGGAAAGAAAAAATTAAAAAGATTACCTTACTGAATCTTTTTGGAGCTGTGAGTTCTTATTCAATGATTGTGTCAGCATCTGTGATGTGGAGTAATGCAGACGAAGAAGCATCTCTTTTCTCCTCCACCCTCTCCATCCTCAAGAACTACAGACTGCATTCTGGGAAGGCTTTATTATGAGGCAGAGCCCCAATGAGGATGCATAAGCCAATTGTACTGATCTTGCTGAGAGTATTCCAATTATGTGTCACCCACTAAAATCCAGCCGCGGGAAGCTAGCTCGTGTGTCAGGTGTTCTATTGAACATATGGCTATTTCAACCAGACTCCTTCTTACAGCTTGTCCAGAAAGTAGGAGTTCTTGAAAAGTTTTCAGCAGTTGGCACAGTGTTTGCCTCATTCACAGTATATGAAGGTCTAATGGATATTGCAGGAGCCATGTAGCTCAGCCCAGTGAGAGTGCTTTGGCTCAGGAGGCTGCCTGAGTTACATGGACAGTGTTTAGTGCATCTGTGATAGCAAACCTGGGCTATGCTGCATCCTGTGAAACCTCCCTTTAGCATCAATTCCAAGTGAGCCCCAGATGCACTGTGCAAAATCCTCAAATGCCACCTTGTGAATGTTAATTTTCAAGAAAAGGATACTACCAAAGCTTCTTCCCTAGCAGAAAATAAGATAGCCAGATATTTTGCCCTCAAGCAAAACGTTACATACCGACTAGCAAAACAAGTTTGCAATGCAGCTGCCAACATTTGCTTACCCCAGATAGCTCTCTTCCCTTTCCAGAGGAGAAAAAATTTTGTATCCAGGAATGCAGGGGCTCTTTGCTTGAACAACATCAAATGGAGTACCAGCTGAGGAGCTACAACAACTTGGCAGAAATCAGATGGACACCCTCAAGACAGTCAAATGAATGAGAGCTGAGGGAAAAGATCTGTTTCCCCTGTTTGCTTTAGACTCGGGCATAGGGCTACATTTTTGCAGCCAGAAATAATTCCTCAAATATATGTTCCATTGCAGACTTTCTGTGACAGTCATTAGGTCCTTACGTAACAATCTCAGCAGGCAGCTGTGGTGGCTTTTAAATTTCTGAGCGTATTAACAAATCAGCTGAGTGTTTCAAAGAAATAGTAAACTACTTTTGACAGCAGCAGCCTACTGGGTTGTTGTTTCTACTTGGAAATGGGAGATGTGTGAAAGAGGTTGTTTGTACACTGCAGAGAGGAATGCGTGTCAAACACTGATTTTGCACCTCTGCTATCCCTGATGCCATCATCTACAACCACCAGACGCAGGGATGTCTATGATAAACCTCCTTACATCTAATTGAAATGCATAAATAGGAGTGTCTTTAAAGAGATGCCCAAAAATGAGCTTGTAGTTCACAGATCTCTTATTAAATCTCAGCATGTGAGGTCTTCTGAGATCTCCGATACAGGTGATAAAACCAGTGACAAAATTTCTCTGCGATCTCCAGACCTGTTGGAAAACTGATGTAGAGGCGTTCCTAAGATGACGTGCCACAGTCGTGCTTGGGCCTCCACAGAAATCAGGGTTAGAAGACATCTAGTCAGTCCCCTTGCCCCAGGGCAGAGCCAGCTGTACTTAAATCGTTGCTGAAGGATATTTGTCTCTCCCATTCTTAGAAATCTTTATAAAAGCAGATTCCTGAACTTCCCCTGGCAATTTATTCCAGGAATTTATTCCTTACCAGTAGTTGCTGTTCTTCCGAGGACTGGCAGAGGAACAGGGACTGTGCCCATGTCCATGCAAAGAAGGCCAGGGCAGGGAAGCACTTTCTAAAGCCCCTCAACTCTCACAGAAAAACCCAAAACAGAAACAGAAACAACTTATGTAGCTTTCTCACGTTTCACCTCAAGCTGTTACTCCATTCCCCACTTTCAGGCTTGATGAGGTAAAACCATAAAATCGCCGACAGTGTACTTAACCGAGCTTCATCAGTTTTATGCCTGAATCCTGATATATCTGAGATACACCAAATATTCCATCTGTACAGGTAGCTTGACTACGTCAACATGTACCAGAAACTGCATGTTCTCCAGACTATGCTAAACCCACTTTGGCCTTCCTCCCCTTTGGCTCTTTTCTCTGGAGTAATTATTTTCACCAAAGTCAATTGATATTCATTACATCAACTGATTAGTGGGTGCAAATATCATGCTCTGTTCTTGGTCCAAAGCACTCTAAATGACTAACTGTGCATAAGATTTTACCCTTACTGATAAACCTCCTTTTCAGAAGGCTACCTATGTTTAAGCACTTTTTGTCATACTCGTAAGTGGTTTTTTAGCCCAGGTTTAACTGTGGTTTGTCTGCAATATAAATGACCCAATTTTTGCATAAACTCAGTGAGTAATGTAGTATTATACATTGTCAGGCACCGACTAAAAATGAACAGCCAAAATTTTAGCTAAGGCTAACAAGAATGTGAAAGACTGTGGCTCTCTGAGCACACAGATCAGCTACAAACATTAAAATTTCCAAACCGTAAAGTATGGAAGAAAAAAATGAAAAGAGAAAAGCTAGTATAGCTGGAATAATTTCACTGTAAAAATTAACTGATGAAGCCAGAATTTTCTGCCCAAAGCTTTAAGTGGGAATGTTCCAATCAGATTAAAATTAGAGCTGTGAAGGCTGAGACAAACCTGTCTGGCAAAGAGAAGGAGCTGCTTTTCCAAAGAAAAGCAAACACACTCATCATGGTCAACTGCGTGAACCTGGAGGGAAAACAATACCAAAGTGGCTTGAGGTTACTTTAAAATATATGAGGATTCACATCTGCTCTCAGAAGCTTTCTGAGCCAGCACTGATTTTACGTAAAATGTACACTGTAAATTGAAAGGTATATTTTAAAATGCTTCTCAAGGCTAACTGTCCTCCTGTGAGCCACCAAATCCCACTTCAACCAGCAGCTTGTTTAGTTGCATTAAAAGAAAAAATCAAAATCGAGTGGCTGGACAAAATTCAGGAGAGTCAGAACTAGAGATCATGACTTCCTCTTTGAACAGTGGGAAAGTAGGAAAAGGCTTCTCTTTAGCACGTGCCTCTGTAAGACAGCTGGTTATTTCAAAACTCAGCAAATTAATAGTTTTCCCATTTCTTAAGTTGGGAAATAGACACAGAATTTTGGGGGGGACTAGGCAAAGGAAGCAGAGAATATGAGTTAGGACTTGGGTTTGCTACGGACCTCGCACTGCTCTAATTACCCTAGCGTGGACGGGAGGCTGGAGCCAGGAGCGGAGCACGAGAAGGAAAGGGGCCAATCTGCCGTTACTTGCTGCGGGAAGCCAGAGCGAAGTGCACGGCTATCGCATGCTACCGCTGGGCCGCTGCATGTAAGAAATCCTGTTCACACACAGCTACTCATCTGTGCCAAATTATTAAAATGCTTATGTGTTTCGCTGAAGCAGAGCTCACATGGTAAGGCACAAGCCCAATGGGAAGCTGCTTTTTTAAAGACCCTCAGCAGAAAGGATTACCCACAACCTTTTTCTCCCTTACGTTCATGCCTATCAAGACCCAGTTCTATACAAATCGAATTGTACGGTTAGCTACATATGGGCAAAGTATTTCTTCTTTGCTTGAATACTTACATTTATCACTCCAGCTATTTGTCATTTATTGACTTTTAAATATTTTGGAAGAAGTAAGCATTCCCATGGTACACGCAGCTCTGATGAGAATGGGGAGAGCAGCGCCGACCCCAGCCCATTGCAGGCGCGAGGGCAAACTCAGCCCACCCTCTCCCCTCTCCAACCGGGCCAGGGAACGGGGAGCTTTAGATCCAAATTCTGGTCTGTGCGCCTGGGGAGCCCTTGTGAAACCCACTCCCTGCCAGGAAAGTGCAAGAGAGAGCCTTTTTTTGAGAAGGGCATGGGCCCAGGAGGTGATTCGAAGAGGTATTCCTGCCTGCCGCACTTGAGTTTGGGCAGAGCAACGTTTCTGTGGATGCGTCCTGCACCCCGTAGTGGTCCCGAGACACCCGCACCTGACACAGCCTCCTGCCTGAAGAGAGGGGCACCTCAGTATTTACATGCGGCTACGTGGGGCACTTACTGCTTAGACAAGAATTAGTCCAATACGGTTGGCGTTCTAAAAGGCATCACCTTTTTTAGTTTGGGGGGAAAAAATCAATCTAAATAACTCTAAGTTATTTAAGCTCCAAGAAGTCTTAATCTGTGCGTCAAATAAATGGCTTGCAAGATTTCAGGGGTTTTCGTTTTGGCTTTTTTAACCTATTTTTACTATTTTTGTATTAATTTAGGGAAGAAAATTGTATAATGAATCTCAATGTATAGCATAAGCCTAAAATAAAATGGCTGTCTCTCTCTTTGCTTCCTGTGCTCCCAACCTGCTACAGAATTCCCATTTCCTCATCTAGTCAGCAAACTGATAAATTGTCTGGCCTAACCCAGCTAATGAGGCTGTGTATCCTCTCTGACTCCCCTTAGAGAGCGACGGCTGAACAGTTCAAGGACACCTGCAGCAGCTCAAGGCCAGCAGTGTCCCAAAGATGAAGCCCACGCTGCTTCCCCAGTAGCTCCTCTTGCCCCATCCTGCACTCTGCTCAGCAGCAAGCGCAGGGAAAATGCATTCACCTCATATGCATTTGTCCTCACGTTCATGGGATCCAAGTGCTTTTCTTTGTTTTTCCTAGCATATCCAGCAGCAGAAACACAGCTGCCCAAGCAGGCTAACCAAAGGTTAAGATAAAAACCTGCAACTGAGTGATGGTTTGGGTAGCTCCAAAATCTAGGTTTGTGGGATTACACGAGAACCAGACCTCTACCAGGACTGCCAGAAATATTGCTATTAAGCATTTCCTTACCAACACCTTAGCATCCGCAAAGTTATAAAACGCTCATCAAGACGCACCTCTCCGTCTGCATGGTAGAGCTGAGGTCACTGCCCAGGGTCCACCTATAGGTCCTTCGTCCTCTCCCCACACCCATGCAGGCCACCCATTCGCACCTTCTCCCAGGGCTTTGAGGGAGGTGAGGCTTCCTGGAGAAGCAAACCACCACACTGAGTGACAAGCGGATTTGTTACGGTTGCTCTGTCACACCTGGTTGCAGCAATGAGATAAAAATGAGTTTACTCAAAAGAGCAAGTGATGGACCCACGGACCCAAGCCCAAGTCAGGGTGAACAGCAGGAGGCCTGAGAGCTAGGGAGCTCTTGGCTGCCAGCAGCACTTGTCGAGGCTTTCAGCCACTCTGGTTTCATGGAAAGTTGGAGTCTGGAGTTTATAGGTAACTTCCACTGCCTGTTATGGTTTCTGACTTGGTCCCTTCCAGTCATGCTTTGTTATGTTGCCCTATATTCAGGATTCACAAGCACTGACGGCAGAAATTCTGGCTGAAACAGACAATCAAATTATATTCATTTTCTAATTGCTAATCTAATGTGAGAGAGGCTGCATCTCAATATCATTCAGGAGCTCAAAGAGCAACAGTCCTGTGCAAGGCCAGCATGCCTCGCTGGTCTGCATTAGCGAAAGCTGTTCATGTAGTTCTCCATAGGTGTGACTTACCAAAATTAGGCTAAATGCCCAAGCAATACATTTTATTCTGAAAAATAACCCTCTCATCTGCATGTGTACCTTTAGAAGACAGGCGTATTAAGTCTCCTTTCTAGGTCACCAGGGAATTCAAGTGAGCCCAACAAATGTTCACAAACAGCATGTTTAAACTGTGCATGCAATTCCTACACTGCTGCATACCAACCAGAATATTTTAATTCCAAAATACCACATTTAGTCATTTGTACAATTAGCTTGCAAGGATGAACTAGGCAAGATTACTAATTCCACACACTTGAGTGTGCTCACATTTACATTCATCCTTTAAACGTTGCTTGCACGTGTATAGGTTAATGGCAGCACAGAACTTATGAGGAGAACTGTATTTGTTTTGCTGATTTAAGTTTCATGGCGCAGAATAACTGAAACATATGCCAACCATCTAGCTATAGAGAAGAGGGGAATAAGACATCTAACAATCCAACAGCAGAAATAAAAGCAC